GTTATGCACCACAATTTAAAAGAACCTCGAAAAAATAAGCATTTTTTACACATTCTGATGTAATTTACTCGAAAACTATGCAAGATAATTCCATGAAAATCACCATACATTCGTTTCTACACAAGATACCTGCTGAAAATTGCTATAATCGGTCCACAATTTCATATACCTCCCATACAAAATTACATATTCCCGGAAAATGGATTTTTTCACAAAAATTTACAAATTAATATCTTATGTCAATAGAATTCATTCAGAGAAAAAATTTTTGGATCGGTCCATAATTGGATATAGCTCCCATACAAGGTCTCCTCCCGAAAATCTCTTAAACGCACATAATTCATTACTAAATTAAGATATCCATATAAAATTTGGTACAAGTATTGCTCTCACATACAGAAATATTACTATGAAATTTTTTTCCGATCGGTCCATAATTGGTCATAGCTCCAATACAAGGTCCCCTTCCGAAAATCACTTAAACGCACATAACTCATTACTAAATTAAGATATCCATATGGAATTTGGTATAAGTATTGCCCATATGCATAGAAATGTTACTGTGAAAGTTTTTTCCGATCGGTCCATAATTGGTCATAGCTCCCATACAAGGTCCCCTCCCGAAAATTACTTAAACGCATATAACTCATTACAAAATTAAAATATACAATACAATTTGGTACAAGTATTGCTTATATGCAGAGAAATATTACTGAGAAATTTTTTTCCGATCGGTCCATAACTGGTCATAGCTCCCATACAAGGCCTCTCCTGAAAATCACTTAAACGCACATAACTCATTACTAAATTATGATATTCATATAAAATTTGGCACAAGTATTTCTCATACACAGAGAAATATTCCCTGCCAGCAAATTTGAGTTTAATTTTGGATAAATGAACTAAATTTACACTATTTAGGCTCAACTTCATGTTTCTCAGTGCTAAATAAAAATATTTACAAAAACAAAATACATTATTTTCTAATTTTTATCCCATTTTTGTAAAATTTAAGTTCGATCTAATATACCAAAAAGAAACGTAAATGATAATAATTAGATAGAATAAAAAGAACACTTTTTAATACACTAACAAGATAATTTAAGGCAGAATTATTTTTGCTCTCAAAATTTAAAAGAAAAACTGTTTGTATATTTCAGTAAATATATTAAGTTTATAGTGATCTGCTGTGTGAATAGTAACACATTGTGAAATTTTGTAATGATTTCATTTAAAATTTAATATATAAAAAATAAATTTAATATATAATAAACATAAGTGAGAGATTAGTGAGTATAAACAATTTTAAATTATTCATAAAGTAAGAGAAATAAAGAAAATGTATTATAAAGTCGCTTTTACTACATAAAATAGTGTAAAATTAGATAAATTTCCAGTTTCCCTATTGCTATGGCAAAACTGGAAATTTTACTAATTTTACGCACTTTTATGCTATAAAAAAGTGACTTAAAACTGAAACGAAATCGACTCACTAAGTAAGTATTAAACAGGAGGAACAGTTTCTTACCAACGCGGTCACTTTTCTTCCTTTCAAATTGTGCAATACTAGATATTTTTTAGATATTTTTACCTACACGTTGTTACGTTATGGATATTATTTAGATAGCAATTGTTTGCAGGGTTACTGCGAAATTGTTTTCCTATCGGTCCATAGTTGATCATAGCTCCCATACAAGGTCCCTTTCGGAAAAACTCTTAAACGCACATAACTCATTACCAAATAATTATACCTATAAAATATTTGGCATAAATACTATTTTGTACACGTAAATGTTATTTTAAAAATTTTTTCACTATCGGCCCATCCTTGGTCATAGCTCCCATACAAGGTTCCCTCTCGAAAATCACTTAAACGCACATAATTCATTACCAAATATTGATATCCATACATTTAGCAAAAATATTGCTCTTATGTACATAAATTACACTATAAAATTGTTTTACGATCGGTCCATATTTCGTCATAGCTCTCATACTAGGTCCCCTCAAGAAAATCACTTAAATGCACAATATTTATTACCAAATAATAATATAGATACAGAATTTTGAAATTTTGTCTTCATATACATAATTGGTCATAGCTCCCATACACGGTCCTTGTACGAAAATCTCTTAAACGCACATTACTCATTACAAAATAAAGCTATTGATACAAAATTTGGCACAAATATTTGTTTTGTATTCAAAAATTCTATTTCAAGATTTTTTCCAGATCGGTTCATAACATGGGTGCGGTCGGTCCCATACAAGGTTCCCTTCAGAAAATCACTTGAACACACATTTCTTATTACTAAATTACGATATAGATACAAAATTTGACTGAAATATAGCTTTTATTTACAGAAATTTTGCTTAAAGAATTTTTTACGATCAGTCTATAATTGGACATATCTCCCATACTAGGTCCTGCCCCTAAAAGCGCTTTAACCGTATTTAACTAGTTGCATTATCATAGCTCCCATACAATTTGTGTAGAACAAAATTATATATATGTATTTTGAAAATCCTTAAATCTTTCACACACATGCATACATGCAAATTACTCAATTTCGCTAAGCGCTATAAAAATATAAAGAAAATGGCGTTTGTAATGCTCAATTAATCTTGGAATTGTAATATATTTAAGCTGTTTAAATCTTTTTTCTATTTAAGACACGAGAAAACTTATTTCTACAAAAATTTGAAAAGTATTAATATAAAAGTAGCTGGTGGAGGGTATTTAAGATTCGGCTCAGCCGAATATAGCACTCTAACTTGTTTATTTTCTGATCGTTTCTTCCTTTAAAAGGACTTTAAAGTTTGAAAGGAAGAGTAAGTATAATTATATTTAGCTTAAATTTGGTTTGGTCTAGTAGGTCAATATGGGTATCGAATGAAAGAGGAGAATAACAGTATTCTTACGAATGAAATAATTTTAAAATGTTAGAATAAAAAACAGAAAAAAATGTCCTTTAAAATTTTAATCCTTTAATATCCTTATTTTTCATAGTGAATTTAAAAAAAAATATATATGTTAAATTGAATAATATGGAGTTTCTGACTGAAAAAATTTCATGTTTTAATCTTTATCACTTTATTGTAAAAAAATTTTTTAAAGTTAAGTTATACACATTTACTTAAATTAAAAAATATGTTTGTTGGAAATAATTTGTATATTTACCATAGAATATCACTTGAAAGTTAAAAACAACTTTATTTTATGGTGGCTGGTCATAATGTCCATGGACGTTATGGCAAACCAAACAGTTTCATAGTGTCCATGGAGGTTATTACACTTTCATAAGAGTCTCAATGTCCATGAGAAAAGTGGCATATAGTCCATGGATTACAAATAGTCCATTTATCATTATAAGGCTTGATTTAGCGAAGCCGGTATTCTAAATACACCGGAGTTAAAAAGTAAATGTCCCAAAAAATTTATTTTCCCACCGATCATGCCGAATAATTCGACCAAAAAGGGAAATTTCAACCCCCCCTCCGCCAAAACGGAAAAAAAAATAAAGAAAAAAGGAAATTGAAAAACGAAAATAGGAAAAAGAAAAAGGAAATTTCGGAAAGTTTACTTTTTAAAAATGTTAATGCTTTTGAAAAATCAAAATAAAAAGTATTGAAACTTGCAAAACTGTAGACTTATATCTGCCATTATATTTTGAACTTTTGTAGAATACTAAATAGAAAACTTTCGATGAAATTAAGGGAGAATCGGACAAAACCATAACGAGTTTTCCACAGACAAAAAAATTAATTTTATTTTGTTTGTTTCAATAGATTTTATAAATAAAAATTATTGAAAATTTGCAAAAATTTTAATTTCCTTAAAATAGTTTTTACTTAGATAAATTGTTTATGTATTGTATTTTTATTAATAATCCTCAAAGTTCATAAAGAATATTGTCGAAATCCTCTATAGTAGTCGTTACGTATTGGGGTGGTCCTGTTTGTCTGGAGAAAATAAAAGATGTCGATTTTCCTTACTGAAATTCGAAGATACCGTTTTTAACAAATTTTTTGGTTTACATTCGAAATTACATTATTATTTCCCACTTTTTCGTTTAAAATTGTCTGTTTTGTTTGAAATTCGTAATTTGTTTCTGATAATTATCAGGAAATTCGGTTCATTAAGTAAGAATTTCTTACAACATCGAAAAAATTAGGGTTTTAAGTTTTTTAATTTTTTCTTGAGCCAGAAAATAAAGGATTAAAGTAAATTTGAATCAATTCATAAAATTTTATATTTTATGCAACCAGTTTAAGGTTGAAGGTATTTAAGATTATAGCACTTCGACAAATTTTGCTGGGCTATAAAAAGAAAAAATATTAAACAAAATTTTAACATAAAAATTTTGTACTATTTCGTTAAATAATTGTTAAGTTTATTTGTCTTGTATTTTCATATTATTCTTTGATTTTGAAAATAATTTTTTTGGTTTTTTTTCTGCAAAGCAGGTTTAATTTTTCGTGCCTGGCAGGGACAGGCTTAACAACGAGTTAAATGAAACTTCAATTCAAAAAAAAAATCAAAGAAAAAACATAAATTTTTATTTTAAATTAATTTTTTTTGTGTTTAAATAAAAACAAAACTCTGAACAACTAAAAATCGTTTTGAAATTTTTTAAACAATTTAAAAAAAAAAACATACGACTTTCAACCGTATTTTCCGTAGATTTTATTACATTTTGTATCTACACCATTATACTTTTCATTTTGACATGTCGTTTTACTACTGTGTGAAACATAGAACTTTTAGTTGTTGAACATACCTTTAGTTTAGAAATTATCACAGTAAAAGGAAATTATTATAAATGTGGTAGATGAAATATGTATATCTTCAGCAAAAAGAATCTAAAAATATTTTAACAATCTGAATATATCTTTAAAAGCCATGATTGGTATAATAGTGCGATTAGTACCAATACAAATAAGCACAAAGTGATCAACATAGATTCAAAATTAAGCATTTCACAACAAAATTAACTTACCATAATCACTAAAATGTTTATGTTCAGTAAGCTGTTTTGGAAAGGTTTTATGATCCTCATCCTCAAAATCACTAAATTTAGTATTTACACGTGGTAGTCTAAGAGCTTTATCTGAAAGTTTTAAAGAAAATAAAAAACGTAAAGTAATTTTTAAAAAAAATTGTAATTATTTATTAACATTGTGCGATACTTTTTTGGAGAGTGAAAAATTCATTTGGCAATTTTTTATGTTATCGCTAGTTTAAATTTGACTACGACATAACGGGATTTTATACTTTAATAATAGAAACTGCAAGCCTATTTTATTTTAAAATCGAAAACTGTTCACTAAATATTTTCAAAAGAAGGCAACTTAAAAAAAATGGTTCGGTTCGGCCGTCAAAGTTTCTTTTAAAAAAGTCGAGTTACATTTTTCACAAATTCTAGAAAATTCATTAGAAAATAGATTTCAGTTTGTATAAAACATTTCAATTTGTATGTATGGATAACACTATTCAAAAAATTTTGGGTCTTCGAATCTTTCCCGAACAAGACCAACGGGAAATGAAAGTAGACAATTAATAGATCCAATTCCCCAAAGGGTTTTAAAAAGTTAAGTCGTATCGTTAATTTATAGGCATTTTAAACTTAGCTTTTTCAGTAAAATTTTCTCATATGTAATATCAAAAAATTTTGAGCATGATCCTCTCTGATTTTGATGAAATTCGGTACACACATTCTTTTTATACATACAAACATTTTAAGTTCTCCAAAATTTCCAAATTCGTTACGATTTTGATTTTATCGGAGTTCAAAGTTCATGTTTCTAACAGTTTTTCTAAAAAGGATTAAATTTGATATTGTATATCAAAGAATATAAAGAAATTGGGGCTTGTCAGACTAATTCCAAACCTACATAATTGCATAAAAACGTACTTAAAATTTTTAGGAAAAATATAAAACATTTATATTTGTACTTTTACAGATTTTTTAATCTTTTTATTGCACATTAAATCTGTAAACATTTAATAAATACATTTTTCAATTTGTTTATTCCCCTATTTGCAAAATATTATGTATATTATAAATTTATTTCCAATTTTCAATACTCAAATTTACAACTTCGTTTTTTCTAGTTTTATTTAAATTCCTCAAAAATTAATTGTCAAACAAGTAATAGTACTATATTCGACTGTGCCGAATCTTATATACCCTTCACCATGATGTGTTAAAAAAACAGTCAGTACGAATTTTATTTCAAAAAAATCAAAAAATACCAATTGTATCCAATTTTATACGTTCTAATTTAATCCGGGCTCTTCATGCTTAGTTTCATATTTCTAGGTTCAATATTATAGAAATTTCAAAAAGTACCTTTTGTAAAACGAAAAAGTACCAAAAAGTCCCCTTTTATAGGTTCTTACCTAGTCAAGGCCCTACATGCTAAATTTCATGTTTCTATGTTCAATATTATAGAAAATTCAAAAAGTACCTTTTGTAGAATGAAAAAGTACCAAAAAGTCCACTTTTATGTGTTCTGGCCTAATCCGGGCTCTACATACTTAATTTCATGTTTCTAGGTTCAATATTATAGAAAATTCAAAAAGTACCTTTTGTAGAACGAAAAAGTACCAAAAAGTCCCCTTTTATGTGCTCTGGCATAATCCGGGCTCTACATATTTAATACCATGTTTCTAGGTTCAATATTATAGAAAATTCAAAGAGTACCTTTTGTATAACGAAAAAGTACCAAAAAATCCCTTTTTATAGGTTCCTACTTAGTCAAGGTCCTACATGCTAAATTTCATGTTTCTAGGTTCAATATTATAGAAAATTCAAAAAGTACCTTTTGTAGAACGAAAAAGTACCAAAAAGTGCCCTTTAGTGTGTTCTCGCCTAATCCAGGCTCTACATATTTAATTTCATGTTTCTAGCCAATAACAACGTAACGTGATGTTCATTCTTTGCTTTGTGTTTATAAACAAGAATTACAATAACAAAAAAATTTACCGTTTGATACTGTGTTTTGTTTTTGTTTGTTTATTGTTTTGTATAAGCATGCACGAAAAAAGTAAATTTTTGATGAAATTTTCAGAGGTGGTCTCGGATTTTTACTCATATCTTCGTTATTTATGGGCCGATTTTAAATAGCGTTCTATTCGACCGTATTTCCGATAGAATTATTGAAAATTCGGATCTCGCAGATATCTGGGGTCTTCTGAAAACTGATTTCAACATACACACAGACAGACGGACAGACGGACATGGCTAAATCGACTCCGCTATCTATAAGGATCCAGAATATATATACTTTATAGGGTCGGAAAATTATATTATAGAAATTACAAACGGAATGACAAACTTATATATACCCTTCTCACGAAGGTGAAGGGTATAAAAATTAAAAAATATATTTTTCGTTTACAAAAACTAAAACTATTTCGGGTTATTAAAAATGTGTTGTGTAAGAAAATGTGCAAGGAGTGAAATTATCTTCATATTTTCGCGAAAAAGTTTTGAAGTGTTATGAGAGAGACGGATTTTCACCAGTGTGTTGAATTCACACAAAACTCGTCTATGTGGAGAGGGATATGTTATTGTTGTAAAACAATGTCATAGTCCAACTTCTTATTATTCTTTGTTGTACACTATCGGACAAAATAAAGTGCAAAAGTAATCATTTAGTTAATATACAACGCTACAATAATAACAATAAAACTAAATTATTGTAATTACAATTTTTCTGTAAAACTTCTAAAATAAAAGTAAATTCAATTTTTTTGTCGGACAAAATAAAGTGTAAATTTTATATATCATTATTTAAATTTCTTGTATATCAAAAATTTTTATCTATTTTGGTTCTGATTTGAATATCTGGATCTACTTAAGCCATTTTGGTAATTTTGTTCACCATTGTTATTCGCAATCGCCTTTCCTTCCCCTTGCTTTTCGCATATGATTATTTTCAAAAGAAATCCGTTTTTGATCACTATTTCATCGGAATTTTTTGATCAATTGTGGTCCAAAATTAATCTATTGGATTTAGGGCGGTGCTCTGAGCAACTTATTTAAATTTTCAGTGTTCTTTCCTACAGTAATGCTATTTTTTAACTTTATCAAGCGCTTAAGCTTATTATCTTTCCGAGATATAAAGTTGACCAAGTCCATTTCGAAGGCACTGATCTTAAGATTTGACTGTAATATGCTCACATAGTGTTCACTAGAGCTTTTTGAATAAATTTCCCCTAGGTTCCCCACAGCTAACATTAAAAATTAAACACATACGAAGAGTCAACTGACCCATACGTTCAATCTTTCACCAACACATTTAAAAGCATGGAAATTTTTGTTCGGTTTTAGTATTTAATTTTGTATTTTTTACCTCAAATTTGCGTAGATAGTCAGATGAGTCCTAATTTGTACCGAAAATTTTAAAATGTCGACAATGAGTGTGAGTTAAACCCTTCAATATACAATATTTTAAAAACAATACCCCAGGTTTTAAACATTATGGTGGGGGGCTATCGGTATTGGTACATTATTCAACCTTAGGAGCGGGAATCTTAGTGAAGATGGAGTAAACAATAACAATTGAGCAATTCACGAGCGTATTTAATAATTTTAATAATAATAATAAATAAATGCCGTAAAAATGGATTTGGGACACTTAATGCCTCAACAGATTTATGACTTCAAACACACGACAAAGGTTAAAAACATTACTGTAAGAAAAAAAAACACTGAAAAATTGGAATGACCTACTCAGACCATCGCCCTAAATCCAATAGATTAATTTTTGACCACAATTGATAAAAAATTCTGCTGAAATAGCGAACAAAAACGGATTTCATTTGAAAATAATCGTATGGGGGAAAGCAAGGGGAAGGGAAGGCGATTGCGAATAATAATGGTAAAAAAATTAAAAAAATGGCTTAAGTAGATCCAGATATTCAAATCAGAACCAAAATATATAAAAAATTTTGATATACAAAAAATTTAAATAATGATATATAAAATTTACACTTTATTTTGTCCGACAAAAAGGTGAATTTACTTTAATTTTGGATGTTATACAGAAAAATTTTATGTGGAATGATTTTGTTTTATTGTAATTTTTGTAGCATTGCATATAAACTAAATGAATTTTAAAAAATTCCATATTCAGTAATCATTTAACAGATTTTTCGCTGAAAGAATATAACATGAGTACTTTTGCACTTTATTTTGTCCGATAGTGTATATATTCTAATATATTTATCCGATTTTAATCATTTTAGACTGTTTTGGTTTTAAAATAAGGATAATTATATCAAAAAATTTCCTAGAGTCAAGGATATCTTAAAAAAAGGTATCTCCCATTTTCATTATTCCTTTACTAAAATTTGTTTATAATATCAACAACAACATATAAAAAAATCAGAATTGGACCATGAAGGGATCCATAGAATATCTAATTTTAGTAAACTAATCCATTTTACTTCCATACAAATTTTAAAATTTTTAATTTTATTTTTTGATAAATCAAATAAAATTTGAACATTTCTAGTACTGTATTTACTAACAACCAGTGTTTAAATAACTAGACTACGAGTAGCTGTAGTAACAAAAATAACTACTTTTGTAGTTAAAAAATGTTCCAAAACTAGCAGCAAATCATTTACTATTACTACTACTACCTTCAGATTGGTAGCAGTAATTATAGATATAGCAACCATTGAACTATCTAATTTTTAGATAACTTGACAAAAATTTTGTTTCCGTAGTGAGGGTACTAACATTTATGTATGCATATGTGGAACTAATTTTTGGTTAGGTCCAGAAAAATTTATATTAATAGGCCGGTTCGAAAACATTTTAACAGAAAGATTTACCTATACACAAAACACACTCATGTCGAATTTTATCTGGATATAATCATTTAATAATGAATTAATTGGTATTAACTGATTTTCAGAAGTAAAATTCCGTATAACGATTTATATATAATAAATACACATTTATGTCGAATTTAGCCCGATAACTTTGATTGTCAATGTGCATTGAAGTAATTTTCGGAAATGGTGCTTATATGGGAGTTGTGACCAATTATGCACCGATCAGGAAAAAAATTCTTATAATTATTTATATTAAAA